ACAAGGCGACCAAATAATTTTTAGTTTTCCGTTCTTTTATCAGCGTGTTACATTATCGACAGCTGACTTAAATTCGTTTGTCTAAACCATTTACCTACAAGAGTAGGCCCAAGAGTAGTGGGGATGACCTGAACCGCCTATTTTGCCACCACTTTGCTAGGCTGTGACGTCAGAGGCTTCACTTTAGGTTTCTCGGACAGTAGTTGTATAATGCAATTGTAAGGAGTAGCTTGCTTTGTTGAGGATGGTTTTAAATAAACAGCGGAAATGACTAACTTTGTCAGGATTAATAATATGGATAAATATATTGGTCGACCGTATGCCTGTTCGTTCGTGTGCCTCGTAATACTCTACACTACACGATACTGTCGCGACTGGGTCCCGGCTTACGGCAGGCTCGAGGGCCTGGACTTCTTCGCTTCGACGTAGTCCTCCTGAATTGCCGTGCCATAAACCAGGACCGTCATACAAACTCTTACACAATTGATTAATAATTCAATTATTTCTTGAAAATAATATTTTCCAAGCCACCTCCTCCTCGACAGCGGGTACATTCTTGCAATCTGATCGGAAAATTCTCCATTACTCGTCGCAATCGAGCTGCATCGATTGCTCCAATTTCATCGGTTATATTTTAACTCTGCAATGTTGCGTGGTTTGTTCACGTAATGATTTTGATACCGTGGTTATGAAAATGTGATTTTCGAAAAATAATCGAATAATTGGTATATTGAAATATAAAACTGTTTCTTAACACTAGAATTACCGACCGGGTCAAAATGACCCGTTAGCATCTTTCGAGAAAACGTGAATGTTCAATACTGGTAAGTGTTACCATTTGCAACTTTCCGAATTTATTTTTTACAGGTACCGCTTCTATTTGTATCGATACGAATCGAATTTTCCAATTATGGTTTACTTACGTAAAAATTCACTTTTGTAAAGTCGGTAATGTGTCATTCTGACTCGGCTGGTAATTCTAGTGTTAAATTTCTTTATGTAATCTTAATAGCCTTTTCCATACTGTGATTATGAAAGTGTCGTTTTCGAGAAATAATCGAATAATTGGTAAACTGAAATATAAAACTGTTTCTTAAATTACTTTATATAATCTTAATAGTCTTTTCGATACTGTAAAAAATTTATTTTCAAAATATAATTGACAAATTAATAAATTCCAATATACAACTATTTTTTAAATCGCATTATATAATTTTAGTAGCCTTTTTGATATTGCGGGAAAATGTTATTTAAAAAAAATCGCAATATGTTAGATGATTGCAAAAATTCGTGCCCGATTGGAAAATAAAACACAAAAGGTGTGCGCAAAGGTACATTTCATTTGAAAATAAAACGAAACGAATAATTATTTCAAAATAAAACACAAGCGGTGTATCTTTCGATAGGAATGTAACATAGCGATAAAACAAACATCTGTACTGAAAATCGGGCTAGAGCTTTTGCAATCATCCAATACCATTTTACATCAATTTTTTAAAATAAAACCCGAATATCACCTTTCTAGCTTTCTGAAAATCGTTACACTTTATTGTCACATTCGTTACAGCCCTTTTCCCCCAACACACTCCCGACAGAACGAAGAAAATCGACGGTATTTCCGGCATTGAGAGCATCTCTGTGTCTCGACGACGCAACAATCGATTGAATTTAGCCCGTTCAATGTTTCAAAGGGGTCAAACATTACTCGACGATCGGAACGGTTTGCTTCACCCACCCATTTTCCTACGATCTATCTGTGCTGTACCACTTTGGCCCGCGATAGCGGGCGAATTATCATTGTTAACCAGCTATTAGCGGCTCGGTTTGTCGTTACATTACAGCGTATCGTCTAGCCTGCATTTATTTAAACGGCCTCGGGGGCTTGTTTAATTGCCGGAATTAATAAAGCATCGACGGAGGAGAGGCTGCCCCGTTCCTACCTACCTTGGTTGCATAATAAATAATCCAACCGGTGTTTCCAGACGCGCTGAAAAATCGAACGAACGACACGTTAGCGAAACTAATCAACGATGATCGCCAATTTATTTCTCCAACCCTGCCATTCTTTCACCGTATCCAACGATCTCGCGCGATCGTAAGCCGCTTCCAGCGAATTTCCGCCGGATCGTTTCTCTTCTGTGGCAATTAACTTCGCGAGCTCATGAAGTGTCGATAAATTTTCTATGCTATGAATGAAACTGTGATTTTTTTTTTTTTGATTTTTTCTTCAATTTTCTTTTGATTCCTTGGCGTTTTGGTTTCAAGGGCTTTGTGAGTTGGGAAATTGGGAATTAAAGAGCGGAGGATACATTGTTTATCTTTGCGGGGATATTAAATTGGAATTTTTCTATTATTTTGTTGTACTTTCGTCGTTTAGAAAATTCAGAGCTGGAAATTGAAGAGTGCAGGATAAATTTGTGATTTTTGGGACAATAACGAAACTGGAATTTTTCAAGTATTTTGGTTTCGAATTTCACAATTTCGTGGATTGCAAAATTACGAATGTTGTACTTTCTTCGTTTAGAAAATTCAGGGTTGGAAATTGAAGAGTGGAGGATAAATTTGCGATTTTTGGGAAAATAACGAAATTGGAATTTTTCAAGTATTTTCGTTCTAAATTTTCGAGTCCTACGGATTACTAAATTACGAATGTTATATTTTCTTCGTTAATAGAGTTGGAAATTAAAGAACGGACGATAATTTTATAATTTCCGTGAAAATAATAAAATTACAATTTTTCATTTATTTTGGTTTCAAATTTCCAATTTTTATAAATTGCAAAGTTACAAATGCTGTTCCTTCTTCGCTCAGAAGATTCACAGTTCCATATTGAAAAATCCAAGAAAAATTGTAATTTTCATGAAAACAACAAAATTACAATTTTTCGTTTATTAATAATTTCAAATTTCCGAATTTCACATATTACAAAATTACAAATCCTATCCTTTCTTCCCTCAAAACTCTCACAGTCCCAAATTAAACATCACAAGACCAACTCTCACTCCACTCAAATTAAAGCAAACAAAAGTCTTACATCCCAAAATGAAACGACACAAATACTGTGCCCGGTCGCGAAGCCCACCGGCCAGTAAAGAGCCATAAACTAATAAACAGTCCTTCTCAGCCCCTAACAAATTCCTTCCCCACCATAAAGCAGTTCAAATCGCATCCTGGACATGTTTCCTATCCCTTTCCCCAAATTATTTCAACTTCTGCAAACCACCTTCACCCTCACGTTCTCCTTCCACTAGTTTCCTAATATCCAATCACATCTGCATTTTTCCATTCCTTCTTTCCACCACCTTCGACCTCCAACCAATCACCGAGCTAATACCTACCACAAAATACACGAGTCCAAAAACATTCTGACCAAGAGCACCATCACCACACCAACGATTACAATTTCGCCCTTCCGGGATTAATTAATAGTTCGAGCTTAAACCCTCAATTTAAAGTACTTCAATTTCCCAGTTTCACAAATTTCCGCGATGCCTCAAATTCCCCAAATGCCTTCAAATACCCCAGGAGCAAGAAAAAAAAAACGGTTAAATAAAATCCCACGAAGAACCCACAATTCCGGCTGTGCATACAAGTGCTCGAGTTTCCTCCCTTAGAATTACCAAGACACAGATTTCAGACCATCGACCGCGGTTACCGCGTTTCACAGGCATCTTGTCGCGGATGCTGACGCAGTCTTCTAACCTTTTTCCACCGTGTCGGTGGTGAAGTGGCTGAATGGCCAGGGTGAACTCGCGTCACCCATTGAAACGGTGCATTCAAAAATATTTCTCGTCCAAGTTGCCACGATGTTCGGAGGATTTCTCCGGATTTGTTGGCCCCCGTTTGACCCTGAGCTCTCTGTCACCCATCCAACCTCTCTACCTCAGCCAGCCGCAGCACAGTGTCGCGATTTATGCGGCAAATTTTCACGAGCTCTGGCAATCTTCTCGTAACGAGGTCCTTTCGAACCTTCGAGGCCTCTTTGATCTTGAAAGGATTATACACCAAGTGGTTGCCCTTACTTGGGAACGATCCAACCAAGCACACCCAGCAGCGTGTCTTTTAATTTTCCTCCTGCTTTCGTCGAAAGGTGGCTACCTTTTTTACTGCGCGATTAACGAACGCGAGATTCTTTCTATCGAGGATATTCCAACGGCGGTATTAGTCGGTAAGTGGACGAATTGAAGATGCCAAGTGGTTTTGCACGCGGGGAATTACCGGCTTTTGAAGAAAGTTTACGGAGGTTTCGGTTGGTCCACGGGGAGAGACGGAGAGAATGTTTGAACTGTGACATTAGTCGCTAAGTTCAATTTGTGATTCTAAGGCACTTTTAAGTTCACGAGGTTTTTGGTTAGGTTAGGTTTCTTAGGTTAGGAGAGGCGAAGAGAATGTTTGAACTGTGACATTAGTCGCTAAGTTCAATTTGTGATCCTAAGGCAATTTTTAAGTTCACGAGGTTTTTGGTTAATGCAAGGATTTATGAAGTAAAATATTTGAAATATTTTTATTTCGTTTTCTCAATTTCAAAATAAAAATATATCAAATTAATATCACACTTACAACTAGACCGAGGATTTCTACGCATTTACAGGAAATTGAAAGATGCAAAGTTATTACAGCACTTTCTATACTACCTGGTAGCTCAAATAATTTTCCACCGAAATTCTACTTCTTTCGCAATATTCCGAAGGGCATGCATTTGCATAAAAATCCACAGTCCACTTAAAACATTTACACCTGAAAATAAAAACATTTCAAGGGTAGATTAAGCAGCGTGACACACGTAAACCAGAATTTTCGACACACTTGGTCAACTAGAAGACGATTTCCTTGAAATTTTGTCTCATCGACACTTACCAGGAATATGGCGCAGAGAGACAGAGAGAAACGCGGGGGGTGAAATTCGCGGTTTCTAATCAACCGCGGACAAATAGGGTTAACAAGGAATTCTCCTCGGCTGCAATATCGTAACGTTATTAAGAGTGATCAACCGACGTTGCAGAACTTTTTCGCAGACGCGAGGGAACTTTTTCACGGACAATGGGAACAATGAGGAACAATTTCGCGGCAGTCTTTGTGCCGCTCATCCTGATGCTCTCGACGAGTCAATCTCTTCCGGTCCACGGCCATGGGAATTCCTCCAAGAGAAACAGTTTGCCCGACACTTTAACCCCCGAAGAACGATCGACGCCGCCTACGATCCATAAATGCCTCTTCATCGATCCTGCTCTACCGATTTGTGACGAGAAATGGTCAGTTTTATCACGTCGTTGTCAAATTATTTTCTCTATTTTTCTTTCCTCGTCTGGACAAGGATTGCGATTAGTTTCGTTGGTTCCTTTTTTTTAGGATGCTGAGCTCGGAGGAGGATACGAGCAACGAACAGTTGACTCCAAGGGGTATCGTGCGCCGCTCGAGGAGAAACGTCGATGTTTCCACGATGGACGTGATAGTTTACACCGTAGAGGGTTGTTTGCCGATTAGGTATGTCTTTTTCAGCAACCTGTTCACTTGGATCAGCTCTCAGAATAGAAATTAAAATTTTTGTCTATTTCTACCATAAAAATGAATAATTCCTCAGTTGACCCATTTTTCACCGATTGTCAAGATAAAAGTCGCAGAGAAAAATGACGTTGAATTATCTTTCACAATTTCGTTTGTATTCTTAAATCATTTTTAACAAGAGAATCACTGTACATCGTGCGAATTGCTTAGAGTTCTACGTAAATTGAACATTGGAGGTATATTTATTTTAATAGACACAGAGAGTAGAATTATTTGATATTATCGAGGGAGGAAATTCATAATGAAAATGGAATTGTTGGACGGTTCAACAGGCTACCCTTCTCGATGCCTTCTTGCAACGGGATTTCCCTGGACAGGATCGTAGACGTAGAGAAATTCCGTCCGTTCATGGTGAAGGGAGTGACAAAGCCACCGCTCGTGTTTCCGGAATTCAATTATCCTCGATGGCTGCGCATGATGACGCGGCCTCGAAATCATGTTTCGTCGAAGACACGAGACGTAAGTAATCAACCTTCCCCTCCAACAACTTCGTAAACCTGTACTACCTCGTGCTCTCCTTTTCCCTGTCGATATCACGTTAAAACACCTTTTTTTTTTTACAATTTTTCTCCATTATCCTTACTTCCATAAAAAGTGTTCGATCGCGTTACATTTCACTTTTCTCTTTTGCAATTCCCTCCATTTTCCCTATCGATACCGGCAATTGAAACGTTTTCAACATTTTTAATAACAATTCTGCCGTATTCTCACCGAAGACATCCTTTCCTCTTCGATCAGTGGTCGAGACAATTCCAATATCGTTTCCTCAATCCGTCACGATTTTCTCGCCTGGAAGATTCTCGGTTCTTCGATCTGCAATTACGCACTCGTCCGCAAGTTTCTCATCGAACTCACGTGTTGCAGGGAAAGCAGTACAGCCACGCCAAGAAAACTTACGTCGAGAAGCCCGCTCAAGGCCGCACGGAGGAGCTGATCAACGAAGCCACGATGAAGGAGACAATTCCGAAAGCGATAGCAGACAGTAAGAAGAACTCGAAGGGATCTTCGCCGAGCAAATTCATCCTCAACTTGAAATCCGTCGATTTTCCCGGTAGAACAGAGGCGGAGGAATTGTCAAGCACTGAAAACATCGAATCACCTGTACTATCGTCCACCGTAGCGAGCCCAAGAATTCCTTCGATTCTGCAACTCCGCCGCAAAACCGGCTCAGCGGAGACACAGGGTTTCCGCCAACTGTCGCCCCCCGCAATTTCAAACAGTCCATTGTACACAATGGAGAGGAACATGTACCAGCAATCGTTGTACAAGGAGCCTTCCAACGGTCTTGAAACCGGCAATTCCAACAAGTACCCGCAATTCATCCCGCCATTGTTCACAGAAGAGAACGAGGGCATAATGGACAACGATTTTCTAGCCTCCATTGGCTTTCTGAATTCCCACAGAAGGAGGAGGGAAGTAGGATCTCCACCTTCGATGCAGGAAATTTCCGAGGACTCCAAGATGCGTGGAATTGCCGGGAAATCGATCGTCCGACCGTGGAAACGATTATACAATCGTGGAGATCGTTCGTTCCGCTATTCAATCACTTTCGACAAGAAGTCGAAGCAGCTCAAGAGTTTCAACTTCGAGGAGAAAGGAATTGCCGCCACGGGGAGCACGCCAACCCTTGCAATTCCACCTTCCAGCACGGAGACGAGTGTTACAGACGTGGATGCAAGATCCTCCCGACGTTTAACGCCGGGCAAGAAGACTCAGAATCACGTGGAATTGCAGCCAGTCGACAAGGAGCCGCCGGTAGTTGCGCGGACGGAAGAACGAGCACCGATCGAGAAATTAGTTTAGGACGATGCATCGAGAAGGAGAACTGAACGCAGAAATACGAAGAGATCACGGCAATTCCAACTAGAGAGACCAACTGCGCACGAATTAATCTGTCAGATAGGTTGTTGAATCGTTTATATTTCACAGAGAGGAGAAACAGTCACGACGAAGTTCACGCGGATTATGTACGAATTAGAGTATCGACAATGCAGAGAGAGTTTCTTTTTTTTTCCTATTCGAACGACACTTCTGACAATTAGAATCGAGTCGAGGATACAAGCGTTTATCAATGCTCGTCTCGCGCCTCGTTATTTCGTCGCGGACCACCGAACAGCTCCATCAACGCTTTGCCAGGGCAATCAGGACATCGCGGAGGGTTGTTCCTCGTGGAATTTCAACCGTAACCACGATGGAACTAATATAACTTTTAAATTAGTCGTTTCACGAACACGATACGGAGCACGGTTCGGGTTAGTTTTTAGTTACGCATCCACGCTAATGGTCCTCTCCTCCAGTTAAACCTTCTGCGTGGCCACGATGTTAACCTAGAAAATTATCCGAAACGACGAACCTTTTCGTTAACACTAACTGATACAATTGATGAGAAAGAAAGAAAAATAACAATAAAAGACACATTTCTAGCCTGTAGAATTTGACGAGAGTACAATTAATTTACCAGCTGACAAAGTGTTGAGCGCAGAAAGAGAATCTCGATGGATCCATCCGCACGCGAATCGTGAGTTCATGCGAGTCACCTCTTCGACAAAGCTCCACCCTGATGGAAGTAATAGCAGGGTAAACAGAGAGAGAGAGAGAGAGAGAGAGACAGAGAGAACTGGAGGAATTTGTCGGGGCTCGTCCTCGATCCTGTTTGAAATTTGGAACGAAATTTGTCAACGAAGACAAGCTGACAGATTGAAAAGTGGGGTAGGGTTAAAGCCGGTCGGCCGGCTCGTCGAGGCCACACTGTCGACTTTCTTCGCTTTCTTCCTTCCCTCCTTTTCCCTTCGTTTCTTTTTCACCCGCCAATCCTGCCGAGTCAAGGAAAAACGTCCCGACTCGATTCCTTATTCCGATAAATCGCGTCAGTTTTCTCCCTTGCCTTCCCCCGCGAGAAGAACAGAAAATACCAATTTTCTCTTCGAGCGCGAGGAGAACGCGACCGAATTCGAATTAGTAATTATTAAGTCCGATCGAATCTACCTTTCGTCGATCGTAGATCGTGCGAGATCGATACAGTTTGCGTTCCGCGAACTCGACAGAAATGAAGTTCTAGCTTAACTTCTTCACTGATCTCAGGAGAATCGAAGGGAAAAAAGAAACAGGATCGTAGGTGAGATTTCATTTAACCGTGGAATTCGACGATAAGCTGCATCCTGATGTTAAACGTACATACATACGTTCGTTTGCATTTTTTTGTATAATGTGATACGTAAGCTGTAAGACGTTAAGTGATAATACACGTATAGAATGTATTAGTTGTCTAATCGGTTAGGATGCACGATAGGGTTACGTTTTTAACTTAACGATGCACGAGATATTATACACATTTTTTCGACTTCGGAATCTTTTTTCTTTTGTTTATTGGTGTAATACGTGAGATATCTTGAATAAAGTGTGCTACAAAATGAATACATTTGTGTTCTATTTCTTTTTTTAGCGTTTTTAAGAGAGAATTGAAAGATGAGATGTGGAGTAAAGATTTGGAAATGTAAATGGCAATTTTTTTTTTTTTGAGAATTTATTAAAGGTAGAATACGTGGATAAAATGTGTAAATATTTACTTTCTGCATTTCTCCTTTATAATTTTTTATTTGTTGTCTGAACTAAGTTCGCAAAGTCAAGAATTAAAGGTAAACGTTAGTATTTAAAGGGATAGATTAATTTTTATTACAAATTCGAATTGTACTTGCAATTTTATATTACGATTTTTTAGAAATTATCTATTTTTTGTTAACAATTCCCTGAGTAAATTTCATATCTTCACGAAAGTCTTAACATTTCCAGTATCCTGCGCTTTTTCAATAGTATCGAGTACTACTGATGTATTCGATACATTGTTTTCAGGTTGCTGCAAGTCTTCTGTAATCGTCTGTACTTCGACAGGAATTTCAACAATTTTTTCCTGGAATAAATTTGTCGAAGTGTCTTTAAGGGTATCTATAGAAAATTCTGGCTTTATCGTCGGGGAAGCCTCTTGTTCTGCGGAGAATTCTGGTCTCACGTCTAGTGAAACCTCTGGTTTCACATCTGCAGAGAATTCTGGAACCTCTGGACTCGTGTCCAATGGAATCTCTGGTTTCACATCAGAAGAGAATTCTTGCTTCACTGGATCCACTGGAATCTCTGGTTTCACATCAACAGAGAATTCTTGCTTCACGTTTGCGGAGAATTCTGAGCTCACATCCACTGGAATCTCTGGTTTCACTTCAGTAGAGAATTCTGAGCTCACGTTCAGTGGGACCTCTGGTTTCACATCAGCAGAGAATTCTTGCTTCACGTCTGGAGAGAATTCTGAGCTCACATCCACTGGAACCTGTGGTTTCACGTCCACTGGAATCTCTGGTTTCACATCAGCAGAGAATTCTTGCTTCACGTCTGCGGAAAATTCTGGTCTCACACTCACTGGAATCTCTGGTTTCACGTCCATTGGAATCTCTGGTTTCACTTCAGTAGAGAATTCTGAGCTCACGTCCACTGGAATCTTTGGTTTCACATCAGCAGAGAATTCTTGCTTCACGTCTGCGGAAAATTCTGGTCTCACACTCACTGGAACCTCTGGTTTCACTCCCACTGGAATCTCTGGTTTCACTTCAGTAGAGAATTCTGAGCTCACGTTCAGTGGAACTTCTGGTTTCACATCAGCAGAGAATTCTTGCTTCACGTCTGGAGAGAATTCTGAGCTCACATCCACTGGAACCTGTGGTTTCACGTCCACTGGAATCTCTGGTTTCACTTCAGTAGAGAATTCTGAGCTCACGTTCTGTGGAACCTCTGGTTTCACATCAGCAGAGAATTCTTGCTTCACGTCTGGAGAGAATTCTGAGCTCACATCCATTGGAACCTCTGGTTTCACGTCCACTGGAATCTCTGGTTTCACATCAGCAGAGAATTCTGAGCTCACGTTCACTGGAACCTCTGCTTTCACGTCCACTGGAGCCTCAGGTTTCACATCTTCAGAGAACTCTGGTTCCACAGAAACCTCTGGTTTAACCTCAGCAGAGAATTCCGGCTTCACGTCCATTGGAGCGTCAGGTTTCACATTAGCAGACAATTCCGGCGTCTCATCCTCCAGAATATCCGCCTCCACAAAATCTTCCGGCTCCATATTCACAGAAACCTCCGGCTTCACAGTACTACCCTTATTCTTCTTACGATGAAAGATATTCACAGGCTTCAAAAAATGATGGAAAAACCCGAAACCTTTATTAGTCTCCTCGCTCGTCGTTTCCTCCACCTTCCCACTGCTCTGAGGTCCTTTCAGAACATTCTGAATCTTCCGTACGATAACAGAATTCTGCGCCTTCTCTATCAAATTATGCACCGTTTGAAACAGTCGTTTCTCGTTCATCTGCGGAGATTCCACCGTCTTAGAATCTTCCTTCACAGCTCCAGCATCCTTTCCCACCTCTATCTGAATTTCCGGCCTCGCTTCCTGATCAATCACCCCGTTCTGCCTTAATTTATCAAAGAAATGAAACTGTGCCGGCGAATTATGGCTGAAAACTCCCGGATTACGAACAATATCCGGAAAACTCTTATCCTTCACAACAACAATATGCTGCAACGTGGACACTTCCGTGGTGCTCTCTCCCTTCAAAGTGAAACTCGTCGATTTCTTCTCGTAATCTGGATTCCAGATCGTAATTTCCGGTTTCTTATTCTTCACCGACTGTCCAATCGCTTCGATAGGACGTTGAGACGCCAACGGTTTCGCGTGAACCTCCCAAAGATTCACAGATTCCTCCTGCTTAACAGCGCTAGCAGCGTGCTGCGAATTATCAGCAGTCTTCGAAGGTCTAACATTCTCCTGATAATTCTCACACAAGGGTATTCCAACGTCGGGAATACAATTGTAAGCAACCAAAGTAGCAGTGACCGGAGCGTTCAGCACTTTCGTAACGAAGATCTTCTCAGGCCTGGTCACTTTTTCCTTCGGCGGAACCAGGTACTTCCCCTCTATAATTCTTCTCTCTTGATCCTCCGTGAGCTCCGCCGTCCTTCCACCGATCTTCTCACCGTCGAATTCCTCGGAGCCCCGCGAAGACTCCAGATCCACGGTAGTTAACGAAGAAACGTCTTCACTCGAAACTTCCTCCTCCTCGGATCCACTCAGGTCTCTCCCCTTTTCCAATCCCTTCCCGCTCGCCACTTCGTACACCTTCTCGAATTTTCCCAGAGAATGCATGCACGGAGACACACCCTCGGCCGGATGTATACAAACCGGTTGACGCCATCGAACGATCTCCACAATCTCCGCTTCTTTCTTCTGACTTCCTGTCCACAGGAATCGACTGAGGTCCAAGGCGAAGGTAACGGAAGACGCTATCAGTAGTAGGGTACACGAAGCGAAGAACTTCATCGCTGTTCTATCGAAGGGATGCTTCGTGAAATTTCCTCTGGTTCGAAGCGGGTAGAAATAAGCAAGTGATCAACGAGACAGTCGACGGTGGACTAGGGCGTTCACGGACAGAGGCTGGGGCATTTATAGGTGGAAAACTACCACCACCTTTTCTGGAAAATACGGGGGGTCTATGTCGACGGCGGTATTTTCCCGTTCAACAACCGGAAGACCTGCTCTTCGAGCTGCCTCGACGATGTTTCGGGCGATTAGCAGAGGCCCGACGAATATACCTGAGCCGAAACCGATTCCGGTGCACTTAAGTGGGGCCACTAACGTCGCGTTAATTGCCCTTAAGGGTTCAACCCTGTGCTTGTGTATGCGTATACGTGTGGTTGGACGTTTCTCAAGTGGACGAGTTAATTGCAGGGTTCGGTACAGCGTACCGGCTAATGTGAACGTGCATTTCTGGCATACTTCTTCTTTCACGATAGGATTTCACTTGTTGTCACCGTGATATTTTAACGATTCGAGTATTATTTACAGTGGGATTTTCTTTCTTTTTTTTTTTTTCTCGTAAGACGTTTCCCGCATTCGGAGATTACTCCGGGTGGTTTAGAATTGATTTCGATGGAGGATAGGGGTGGAAAGATGGAAGCGCGGTATTCTAATTAATCGGATGGCTTTTTAATCGAGCCGCGAAAGGGACGAGTTTAATTGCAACCATCGTCTAATGCACCTTAATTATTTTAATTTCTGCGATGCCCCTGGAGACACGCAACCGCACGCGGAGAGCGTTATCACGGTGTGCAGTACACCAGGCGCACAATGGGTCTATTTCTGTAACGAGGAACGACGTTTTATGTCACGGAAAAAAATATATTTCCGCCGCGTTTTTTAGGTTGATTGCGTTAAATTCTGGTTTCACATGTGAATCTCTCTGTTTTCCTTTTTCTTCTTGGATGTATTAACTTGTCGAGGTGTATTTATAATAGAAATGAGGTGTAAATCGAAATTGAAAAACTATCGATGAGAAATTGTATTGTAATATGGTTGAGAAACGGGTTCAAGGTTGTTGGAACGGTATAGAGCAATTTCAGAGCGGTTTCAAGGGGCTCTGAGCATCTGGGGACAGTCCTGAGCGTTGGAAAGTGGATCAGGGTGGGATTAGGGCGATTCCGAGCGATCTGGAACGCGTTTGAGCACCTCTGAGAGGTCCAGAGTGGATCTAAGCTTCTCTGGACGATTCCGAACGGACCAGAACAGACTTACAGACATTCCAAACGGACCAGAGCAGATTTAGAGCAATTCCAAGCGTTCAGAGTGAGCTTCGTCGATTTTCAACGCTCTAGAACAGATCTGTGCGTCTCTGAAAGGCTCGTAGCGTGTATAAACTCTTCCGAGAGACCCGAGGCAATCTCTCAACGATTCCGAATAGATCGAAACGAATCCAAAGCGATTCCCGGAATCTCACACCGCCTCTAACCTAACCACACCAATTCCAAACGAACCAAGGACTCTCTTCACCTCCGCAAAAAATAGAAAAAGAAAGAA